ACAGTCTCTGTCCATCTGGTAGATTTGAGGTCATCTGGTTCACTACACGTGTAAACATAGGCCTACTTGTCAGGAAGCTCTATGTGTCTTTGCTGTATTAAAACCCTAAAAAATGTTATTATGATCGGCCACTTTCCCCTCAAAGAAACAACCTCCTCAGTCATATTTGGGCCACAAAAGTCTATTGTTTTTCTTGACCTATCCCTTTAAAGTATACACCTTTGTTTTTCCACAGTGGTCTGTTTGGTTGATCCTAGTTTTGGTCTGGCCTAAATTGTAAGGCAGGAATAAATCTAGAACAGTAGGGCGTTTCTCTGCCACGTCAAATGCAGCCGACGTTCTGTTCTGGTATCACTTTATTTAGCTGAAGTGTGGTTGTTGGGTTTCTTGTTGTTCTGACCCGTAACCCCCACGCCATCGACTCCAGGTCAACGTGAAGGCCACCGAACCAAACCCAGACCACACAGACAAACATTTATTATGACCGTATCCCAAGCAGGAGTTTAAATAAATGATAAAAACCATACAGAGCAACGTTACCTTTTGTGTCTTATAAAGGATTCAAAATGGGGAAAAACAATAATTAGATTTTGACCTAAATTTATTGTTTTCAACAAATATATTTTATGAGCTACATATTCCTAGTCATGTATGCATACATGCTCTTTTCCAAGATTTCAAGTGAACAAAGCACATTCATTCCCCCTTCAATTCATGCATTCATGCTACTTTATTGATGGCTGAACTAACAGCGTCTCTAATGATATGTCTTAAACCTGTGAGTGACTCCAAACACTTCATAAAGTTAGATGAAGGAGCTTAAAGTCTCTAAACTAACATGACCTCCTGACTGCCACCTCAGAAGAATGACTCCTTTGCCTTAGCGTTTCAGTCCACACTGAAGCGGTAAATGAATCTGCAGCTCATTAAAACAGATTCAGTCAATGTGAACTCTGTTATTAGAGCTTTTTCAAACTTGACTTTTAGTTGCGTGTTTACAGTATATGCAAGATTTTCCATTTTAGTGGGTTAGCATGTGTGACATGTAAATATGATGTCAGTGACAGGGAGTGCAGGTCAGTCCGGTTACAAACGTATAAAGAAGAAAAAAAACTACAACAACAAACAGATTTTTGAACACTGAAAGACTCCTTCAAAATTCAGAGTAGGTGTTGCATTCAGGGTAGTGCTGAACAAATGTTTAGTCTATAAACATGGGATAATTAAAGAGGACACTTATAGGCAAAACACAAGAAAAAGCACTTTTATCAACATTTTGTAAAATGTAAAAATTGCAAAAACATTCCACAAAATAACTAATTTTAGACCACCTATCTGATTTATTTTTTTGTGTGTGCATCTCAGGGCCTCTACAGTTTCTTACCTTTCCTCTGCAGCTCTCTGCTGTGTTGTGTCTGCTGGTGTCTGATGCACTCCGGCTCGCTGGGACTCTCCTGATCAGCCTCCTGTGGAAAACAGAACATCACTTACTGCTCTTCTTTTCAGCTGTGAAATCACTTTCTTCCTCCTCCTCTCAATAAGTCACAAAATGTGTCCACCACTGTCACGCTGCCAACCCAAATCAGTTACAAGCTCAAGTGTTTCAGGTCTGCACTCTTTTGTTGGAGGTTGAGGTCAAATGCTCCAGACATAATGAGCAACACCAGCTGGAAAAGTACAAACGTCTGAGGGAAGAGGTCAAGCAGAGTCAACACAAACAATCAGGACGTCATGCTGCGCTACTGCAACAAGTGCTGCAGCTTTTCTGCCTCGAGTCAGCAGCAAGACGGTTCAGACTAAGAGAGAGGCTGTATTGTTTCGGCTTATGGAAAAGAAATATGTGAAGCGTGCAGGAGGAAAACCAGATATGGGCACTACTGTTGGGCCTCTTTGACCTTTAGCTTCTACACAGGAGAATCAGCTGCGTAAATAAGGCTCCCCTGAGCACATGTGTGCGCACATCCATACAAATCTTAAAATCACATCTGCACATTTTATTAATCCACCATGGTCCGAAGACGGAAAGTTTTGAAGAAAAAGCTCCTGTGTGGAGTTTCATGTGTTATGCATCATCTTAGCTCCATTAAACCACAAAAACGCCACACAAGTAACGTGGTATGTATTTACTAACTAAGTTTGATGGCCTGGAAACAAAAACAGTCGTTTGACACAAAACTTAAAATATATGAAGACACTCGAGCCAGCTTGGGGTTGCTCAACAACTTTATAAATAATGTGCATGGGAGGAAATGGGCTAATGATCCAGATCAACCGTCGTCCATTTCATATTCTGACAGCGGTTATTAATGTAGCCACGAGCGAAGACCTCGAGGCATACAAAAGTCTCCAAGAGTACAATTATCATGTCTGTAGTTGAAGACTGGTTACCACTCTGTAACAGTTTGTCTTATGTAAACAGGTAAACTAATGATATTATAAAGTGAGCTTTTCCCCTCGTCTTTTTCACAACACACTGCACATGCATTCTCAATGAAGTGAACAAATCTACCGTTTCAAATATTTTCTGTTCTCCAAGAAAGAAGCGCTCATAAAGCTATTTCATGAGGAAGGTGCACAGGTAAACATATCTCCAACAAAATGATCTGGACGAGTCCTGATTGAAGCTGCCCATTGATCGATTTACGATTTGTCAGCCTTCTCTGCTGGCATAATTCTTGAATTTGTTCTCCTAGGTGCGTTTAACTGCAGGAATTTTAAAGTATGACTTGTTAAACTGTATCTGTCAGCCAAAAACTGCACAACATTTGACCATTTTGGTTGAATTCACACCACTTGCTCTGCAGTAGGTGTTCTCTTTAACTTTTATGTTTATCCACTGGAGGTGGTCTATCAACATGGAGATTAGACGCACGCAGGATGTGGTGCCGTCGCAGATCAAAACGGTTTAAAACATTTCAGAATACTTCTCATTAACGCAGTGAGTGATCTGAGCAGACTTTAGAGTGCACATGTTGCCGTAAATTTAAATCTCAAGTTTAAGGTAGAGGTGTAAAAGGACCAAAGGCATTTTGCTCTGCTGAATGAGACCTTCCTCACCTTGAGCAGATTACAGGGCAGAGCAGCTCACACACATACACACACACATAAAAAACTAAAACAGGGGAAAGGAACCTAAACCAGAAAGAATGAGGGAAAAAACAAAAAGCGCAGCTCCAATTTAAACTTTGTTAATAAGACAAGTTTTCAAGTCAAAACCAGTCAGGAATGATTAATCTGTGAATAAGTCTGAGTAAGGAAGTTAAAAACTATGCAAATCTTTCAAAAAGATCTGATTTAATTTATTTTCCAGCGTCCAGTTTTTCCATAAAAACGACTTTTTAGCGTTTCAAAGTGTGACTCGTAAAGTCAGGCACACCACAGTGGGAAGCTGTAATTTAGTGAAACGCTCCTTTAATGACTCGTTAAAGTGCCTGATGAGTTTGAAGAACACAAACAATAAAAAGAATCCACTAAAGTGAAGTGATGCAAAAACGACAAAAAGGACACTGTCCCTCTCAACACTCGCATAAAGAGGGATAATTGTGTTTGAGCCATAAACTCAATTAAAGGACAAGTCTGCTGCCCCTCCTGCTTCTAGACAGACAGCCGTCCTTTCAAAGATCCCTCTAAACCAAAGAGAACATATTTCTCACAGACGGTAAAGCTGAGTTTAAAAAAAAGCTTGAGTAGAACTGGAGTTGGAGAGCAAAAGCTGAAGACCCGCGCCAGCCTCCATGCTATCATTAGTGGTTTTTCCGTGGCCCAGACAGCCAGGACCTGACACCAACACCGTCCCACTCCAGCACACACACAAACCTCACGTCCCATCTGGTCTCAGGAGCCTGTTTGTGTCAGAATATAAGTGCAGAATTTAAAAACAACACAAAAACAATGCGTTCTGGTGACCACAAGACGGCGTAGACCATCAGGAAGGTCCAAAGAAACATACAAAGCAGCGCACACCTCCTTTATCAACCGCTGCAGGCAACTGCAAATTATTGCTCCAGTTTTCCATTAAACGTAAAGCCGTCACACAACGGGTGAGGTCAGATTATATGAGGGTCTGCCACGCTTGCACGTGGAAGCGAAATATAGGAACCTGGCAGTTCACTTTCCATTACTGCAGTCTCAGGAACTGCACGCCTGGCTTCGCTCCAACAACAGCAACAGAGTAGCAATCATCTTCTGTCCGAGCTGAGGAAGCATCACAATCACACTCGGACTCATCCCCTTACTGCAAAGCTTAACTTACGCCTTGATATTTTTGTTTACCCTCTTAGCGAATTTATTTCTCAGGTTTGTTCTTGCAACTTAAAAGGAAGTGACAGCAGAAACAAAACTTTATCTGCCCACCCAAACTCACCTGAGCAGCATGCAAAGCTTTAAAGAAGAGTTTAAAACAATACATTTAAAATACTATGTTTGTTGGGTCTTTGTCACACAGCTGTTGGAAAACTTCACAATCAATTTCATCTTACTGTTAATTAGCTGATTTGTTGTTTGAACACAAAGTCAATTAATGCCAATATATAGTTTTGTAAGCAAACCTGAAATGTAAACACAGAGGCAGGTAATCCCCATAATCCAACCAGATGAAAACAGGCAAAGTCAGGAAAGTCTTCTCAATTACTTTTTAGTGGAGAGAAAATAAAGTTTAAAAAAAAATTTAAATTAAAAAAGCCAAATGAGCATTTGATGTGTGAAACCATCAGCACCAAAATCAGAGTGACATTTACCTCCTTTTCCTTCTTCCTCTCTGTCAAAAGTACCAGTAACCTTTTGAGACAGGACGCCTGCTATTCTGCCGCTCTGCTCCCTCAGCCACATCACACACACACACAAACACACACATTTACACCACCACAAACACACACACACACAATACCAACAGGCCACTCCCTTAACTTCCCCTCCCTCCCATTCTGTCTCCAAAGGGATCTGACCCCTACCACACACACACACACACGTTGATGGGTTACTGGTTGACACATTAACGTTTAACACTCTGTCTTTTCTTTGACCTCTTTTTGTCCTCAGAATTATACTAAATACTTTCTATTCTGCAGCAGTAATTGGCTTTAAACATTCAAATAGTACTTAAACTTGAAAGATAAGTTAAAGAGTAGAATATTTATCGCAAATGAGCCAAAAGAAACTTTGACTGTCCCTAATTTTTCTGCATTACCTTTATACCCAGTAAAACCTACATTTATAAACATATGCAATTAAGTTGTACTAGAAACTTTAAAAAAAGGCTTTCCTTTTCGTGCACCTATACTGCATATTGCGTGTGTCTGTCTGCTGTGGAGGCATATCTTGGATCTTCCGCAGGACAAATGTACAAAGCTCAAAGAGATTGGGCGCTGTGATGTGAGGGGAAGGAGTCGTGCTGCCTCTGGCTCGTGTTGTTTTTGGACACGTACCCATTCTGGCACAGACAAGACTTCTGGGGCTCACAGCTGGAGGCGTCTAGCCCCGACAGATATCCTCAACCCTCTGCTCATTCATCTCGGCGACAACCGTGACTCACAACTCAACCACCGATTCAGAACAGCTGACCGACAAGAAGTGCGAAAGACGCCTTGAGAGCTAGGAGGATTTTGGTGTGACAGGATGCTGTGACTGAATACACACACCCACATACAAAAAGCTAAGCACAGACAATAGCCCTGATTGTGACGATCTTTTGATTGCTTCTCACTCACGAGAATCTCACTGTGGTGGGAAAAATATGCTTGACAAGGTACTCTATTGTATTTTACATACAGGAGGCATTCCACCACACACAGAGGCTAAAGCCTGGTTTATACTCCATTAGAAGGGAGAAGTTGCATCTTGCTGAGGTGGCTGCATAATGAAAAGCATGTTTTTCTTCTTGCACCCACCACTAGGACCTTGTCTTGTGCATGTTCCCTAACAAAAATAGTATCTTACAGGGTGCCAAGTATTGAGTGATTGGTCAGAACTGTGTGCGCATGATTGTTTATGAAAAGTGGCTGCAGTATTTTGCTCGCACAGCTGGCTGAGACTGGTACAATTTCCAGGCATCTTTACAATTCTTTCAGCAAAAACGATAAAGATAGTCAAATAAAAATTATTAAAAAAACTAGAGAAATCACATTTCCTGTGAAAATTCAGTGTGAATGCTTATTGCTGAAGGACTTGCTGAAAAACAGCTGAACTTAACTAAAACGTGCTGAAATGTAGCTGAAATGAAAGAACAAGCCACAGTTAGCAGAAGAAAGCGAAATAACACAAATTTGCTGAATTTGGTTTAAATAAGCAAAAATTAGCACAACAATTAGGTAATTAACTAAAAGAAGCTTAAATTAGCAAAGAAATTGCTGAAAAGAAGCTGAAGAGGCAGAAAGAAGCTTAAACTACCAGAAGGAAGTGAAATGAGCTGAAACTAGCTAAATAAAATGTGGAATTAGCTGAAAAAGCTCAATTTAGTACAAAACAGCTAAAAAGTAGCGGAAAGAGCAGAAAAAGCTGAAACTAGCAGAAATCACCACGAAAAACTTGAATTGATCTGAAAACAGCTAAAATTAGCTAAAAAATACAAAAATAAAATAGTTAAAAGGTAGAACAAGCTTAAATTAGCAGAAGGAAGCAGGAAGAACATGTTTGCTGAAAGAAGCAGAAATGACCCCAAAAAAGTGGAAATTATCTGTTAAAAAAAATAAAAATTAGCAACAAAAAAAAAAGGCTGAAAACTAGCTAAAAAGGCTGAAATAAGCTTAAATTACCAGAAGGAAGTGGAGAGAGCACATTTTTTTGCTGAATTAGGCAGTATTTTCTAAATGAGTGCATAAAATGTGGAGTTGGCAAACAAAGCTAAAATTTGCAGGAAGAAACAGTTAAAAAGTAGCTGAAATAGCAGAAAAAGCTGCAACTTTCAGAAATAAGCTGAAAGGAGCATAACAAGCTGAAATTAGCAGAAAGAAGTTAGAAGCAGCACAAAAATGTAGTTAGTAGAATAAATCTGAAAGGAGCACAAAACAGCTGAAAAACGACCGACATTAGCTGAAAGTGCAGAAAAAGAGTTTAAATTTGTACAAGAAAGCTGAAAGAAGCTGAACCAGAACAAAATGTGGAAGGAGAAGTAAAATGTTGTCAACAGATCTAAAGATATGAAGGATGTAAAATGCATTTTATATGAAAAAAAAAAGTGGCAGAAAAAGCTAAATATTTCAAAAAGCTAAAGTTACACCAATACCAAAAGTCATAGCAGGATTGTCCTGAAAGAGCTGAATGTTTTGATTTTTGATTTGATGCTTGAAAACTGCGGGACGAGAATCGCACCAAAAAAACGTACAAAAGAAAAATGTATCACAATAGGGTGAATGCTTCATAAGCGTTCACACAAAATCAAAAAAACTTGTGACATGAGACAGGACGAATTTTGTGCACAGAGACAGAGATGCAAGCAGCGAGTGCGCCTCGGCTGGGCAGCGCGGAGAAATGCTACTGTCAGTCAAAAATGATCGTGGTCTGTTTGCGGCAAATTTTTAAAATATTGCTTCTCCTTGGTTAACAACAGAAATACCAGATTTTCCTCATCCAACTCTTCCATCGTCAGCTAAAAACATTTATTTTGCCAACCCTGCTGTGTGTTGTTGCTGTTTGTGCATGATGTGTGCTGCAGTGGGGGGACGTACCAGGAGTTCAACCTACAGTTTCTCTGAGTATGAACTGTCCATCATGTCAGTAAGATCTAATATATTACATCTTATGAAGTATAAGAACTTTAATGTACACAATAAGAATTTAATTAGTTTCTTCCTTTACAGAATCCCATCCATGGCAACCAGAACATCCAACACAAGCTTGTGATTAAAAACATCAGATAAGAATAGCAGATTTGTCTTTGATAAGTGCGTCTCCACTCAGCTCTCGTCTTATCGGTTGTTCTCCGGTGTAGATGTGTTTGCCACTGACGTGTTTCCCCGCTCTGTGGGTGGCATCAAAGTGGGCAGTATCATAACAGGTCATTGTGTTTGAGCCACTCTTCCGCTGATGTCCTTAATCGCCCTACAATCGGACTTCACTTTCTTTAGCTCATCTCAGCACGGCTTATAAATCCACGCGTGGCCATGCTGCACCGTAATCTCTGATATCTCTCTGTAAAAGTGCTCATTTCTTGTGGCTCCGTCCATCAACACGATCAGAGAGGAAGTGGAGGTTCAGATGTAAACAAAATGAGGTTAAATCGTGTCATCTGGACCAGCTTCTTTAAGTGAGAAACGTTTTGTCCCCCATCCAGAGGACTTCTTCAGTCTACATACAGCCTACCAGATCTGTCCCATAAGTAGCCTGCACTGCTGTGTTTCAAGCCAACCTCCTGTTGGAATCTCAGAAGTAGGCTCAGATGTCGTTTGCCGTTTTGCTGGTCCAGTAACGTAGCTCCGCTGGCCACTCAACATTTGCTGTATGCTTCCATCAAAATCAACACCTCAGGAGTCTGCTTGGAACCTCAAACAAGATGCTCCCATAAACTGGGCTGAGTGGGGGTGGGTACAGACAGTGGACAGGCCTTACTGGTGCAGAACCGATGAGTTGAGGCAGTGGCAAAGCGCCATAAGATTACACCTGGCCCCTTCAAAGCTCTACACTAAACTTCAGGTCTTAGTTTTATGACGCTCTTAAAACTCAGCCACTACAGGGCAAGTCAGCTGAGAGAAATCAGAGAAAAACCACTGAAGAGGATTCAACGTTTCCAAAAGGGTAAAACTTTGTGCTAGTGGACGTGTGAAAGACGCTCCCTGACAAAACCAATATACAGCCTCCACCAAACTCCAAAGTAAATTTCTTTCTTTTCTTTCAGGATGGAAGAAACAAGAACACATTCCTGACACTGTAGTGTGTGTTTTGTGTGTGTTTGTGCACACGCCTGCTGCAGCCACAGTAATAACTCAAGTGGCGAAGCTGGTTGTTGTTGTTTTTGTTTGCTGCATTCTTCACTGCGGCAGCAAAGAAACCTCAGTGGTCACTGTTGGCGTGCAAACAAACTCTGCCCCCGCAAACTGGTCTGTGCTTGGCTCATCTCTGTCAGGCTGACACGAGCACACGTTACATCTTGCCCAATGGACGTAATGCTGATTTTCTGACTGCACGGGATGATTTTGCACAATCAACATTGGTTGCTTCATTAATGCTGCTCTACTCACTCCTGTTCCCATGATGCACTGGGGCTCCAGAATGTCTGCATCCAGAGAGAGATTAGAGATTTTACTCTTCTCCACCGCCCCTAAAAGAAAACATACAGACACAACAGAAGTGTTCAGACATTATTTCAGATGAAGTATGCGATGTAGTATTTTATCTGATGTCAAACTTTATGTGTTAATGTCGATACAAGCTGAGTTGTTCTGACATGATGAGGAGGGAAAGGTTTTGTTTTTGAGCCAGAGTGATGGCGGAGCTCATCAAGACCTGACAGAGCTAAGGAATGACAGGAATCCATGACTTGATCAAAGATTATTCAGGAGACAAATCTGCTGTAGTAACCATGGCAACAAACAGACAGGTATACCTCGACTTCATAGATAACCCAATGATGATAATATCTGACTTTTCCTTTTCAGGGTGATGCACAACTAGGAGAAAGTAAGAGGCTTTTACCTTCATTTTAACGCCCTCATCAGGTTAAACTGTGTCAGTGCTCAACGCCAAAAGTACAATCCTCTTATTACATTTATAGACGACCAATCAGAGAGAATCACAGACCTGTGCAAGTCTTAAATTAGCCCTTGTTTCTTTACATTTTACTTCCAAGAGGCACAACTTTCTTGATTTTACCCATTAATCAAAACATTTTGCTAGAAAGTTAATACTGAGCTAGGACAATATTTGTAAACTATATACTTTTTAAATTAGTGTCATTTACACACACACAAAAGAGAGATCTTTTTAGATTTTTTAATAAACATTATTCTCTGAAACAGGGGTGTCCACACTTTTTCAGCATGCGAGCTACTTTTAAAATGACCAAGTCAAAGTGATCTACTACAAGACCCCGTTTACATGAGAACAACCTCTGGAAACTGTACTGTTTTCTTCAATGTTTACTCGGAGTATTAAACAAAAAATGAGCAGGTTTACACGAAAAACGCTGTAGATTCCATGTCAGTCGGGTTGCCAGATAAGAAATTATGAACTATAGTACTGTGGCTTTAAAACGATGGTATTTTGACTTATGTGCCGAGTAAAACTATTCTAAGATAAGGTGTATGTTGTGTTTGTTGAACATGTGCACAGAAAAGGAGGGGATAAATAAGACATTTTAAATGTATCTGGCAACCCTGACAGGGCTCAGCTGCTTTCATCACACATGCAGCATCTGCATGATCACAGTTCCATCCAAACTGGTGACTACACTGACATGAATTTGGAACTCAAAAAACCTCCACTCTGAGACCTGGTTTGAGAGAACGATGGCTGTGACTGGCTACTTGTATATCAATCAAGTAACAAATTTCATAGTGAGGATGGATGATAGCCTGACGTCTATTGTTTTTTAATGCCATGCAATCTACTCGTAATGCCTTTTGTGATCGACTGGTAGATCGCGTTCGACGTATTGAGCACCCCTGCTTGGAAATTTACTTTAGGATTCATGCTCTATTTTTGTTTTCTTATTTTTAGTTATAATCTAGCTTATTTTGTTTTGTACATTTTTAATTCTGTTCTGCTTATTTTAACTTTTAAGAATACAGTTTCAGCTTATTCAACAAACTTTAGCTGTCATTTACAGCATGTTTGCAGAAGACACAAGCACCTCTAGTTTTCATTTATGTTCCTACACATTTTCCATAAGTTGTTTTCTGTTTGGTTGGTTTGTATTTATTCAGCCACCAGCAAAGTCCAGTTCTTCAATTTAGAAGTCCACCCGAAATAGAAATCCAGTTGTTCCGTTTTTAATATTTTTATGATTTTTGGTTTGCCATGTGCTGAATTACTAATAATATACACTGGCATATTGATGAGTACCAATAAAATTACAAGACAATCTAGTTTCTTGGCAGCAAAGTTAAAATAAATTAGGTGTTGTTTAAAATGTTTGCAATGTAATTGCATACTTTTTCCAAACTGAGAATATCACCCTTACTACATTCGTTACAACAACAAAAGTGTTCCCTTTAAAATATCTGCTCAAATGATTCTGTATACAGTAATTGCCTCTAAAATTAGTTTTCAATAACCAAGTTGAGGCAGACAAATAAATCCCAGTTCACCTTGCAGCTGCTCATCCCGGATCTGTCGGATTGCTGCTCGAATCATCTTCCTCTCCTCGTACTCGCTTGCAGCACGGAGCTACATAAACATAAACACGACAGCTCAGTGCACCCATGAAGTCACAGTAAAATGCTCAAGTACACAAAATTATATTTTAAAAATCACCATTTTTGTAAGCTCATCAATATCCTGCATTAATTTCAGTTTTTGTGACAGGACGTCCAGGTTATTGCTGGATTCAGATCTGAGAACAAGAATGGAAAAATAACACTTATTATTTTTTAATGAATCTATCCAGCACAAGGCAACTGAGAAAAAAAAAAAGTATCAAATAAACAAGTTGACCTGCACTGACTTTCATCTGCAACTTCAATGCATGCTAGCTAAAACAGAGCATAGAGAAGTCATAATATAACATAAGAGATTTGAAAGAAGTGGCTAAAAAAATCCTGATAATAAACACAGCTCTTATTCTCCCTTCATTACGTCTCATATTTCTCTTTTCATCACCCAAACCTTCCCTCAGTTCCCTCATTATCCTCATTTTTCCTTCATTACCTGGTTTTAAAGGACGTGTGGTGCAGCGAGGTTTGCATATTTGACATTCTCCAGCCAAGTCTCATGGAAATAACATTTGCAGAGATGCGTGGACGTGTGACAGATGGCATGATTTCTTTAGCAGCTTCAGTGAGGAACCTCCATTGTTTTTGTAACTCAAGTCATCTGACAGAAGAGGTGACTGGAAATGATTATTAGGGCCTTCTACAGTTAGGAGGATTGAGTGACAGAACGGCAGCAGAGGGCTGGAGGATACTCTCACATCAAATAAGATTAAATCTTCACTCCAAACCACATGCTGGGATGGAGCTATGGAGGCTTAATATTAAACAAATACTTGAAATACACACCTGAAACATGTGAAATTCGAAGATTTTATACAGGCAAGAAGGTTAAGACCATTTAGAAATTTAAATCCAACTTGACTTGTATTATTTGACATCTTTAAAAAAGGATTTTGGGTTAACTATGTAAACTTAACTATGATATATGTTGCAAAGAATGACTGAAAGTAGAGCATATCGGCTTAATTGAACGTTCATTTCCTGAAGTTTGACAAAACTGGACAGATTTCAGGAAATCTTAAACAAACAGAGACAATTGGGGAAAAAATATTAGCTGTGGCATTTATTTTCCAACGTTCAATTGCTCCCCATTTATTGAATCATAAATGTTTTGTGCATTACTGAACAAGAATAATTATGGAAACAATAAGACTTTGAAAAGTCAATAATTATAAAAAAATAATAAAAATCTGACAAAGGTGATTTGAACTTCAGGATTGTTTGTCCCATTTTAGTTTTGTTTGCCTGCAAGAACATGTTTATTATCATTTAAAAAAATGCAGTGTAGTGTTACAGCCAAATTATGAGTTGATCTACGTTCTTCAACTGTGTGGTAGAAACTGGAAAAATGCTTATATATAAATAGAGACTTATCATAAGTCAGTCAAAGATAAACTGGAGAAATTACATTTTCTATGAAAATGAGGCGTGAATGCCGACTGTTGAATGACTGAAGACATTTGCTGCAAATGCTAAAACTGAATTATTAAAGCTAAATGAAGAGGAACAAAATAGTAACTAAAAGTTTAATAATAACAAAAACACCAAAAGTTAAAAACAGACAAAAGCTCGTTAAAGTTGCAAAAGACTAGACAAAAGCTAAAGGCAGCTAAGTGCTAGCTAATTTCTAAAGTAACATAAAATTTCTAATCTAGAGCAGGTATGCAACAGTAGATTTCAAACACACCAGTGTTTAATAATGAAATCAAGAAATCTCAATGTAATTCTATGGGATAATTTTGGTAAATAAAGTTGTTTTTTTTTTTTTTAAAAGCATACAATTTACAAAAAACAAAAGTCTTCACCTGAATTTCTGGAATGAGAAGATTTTTATTTATTTTTTTACATTTGAACAGTTAAAATAGAACTAAATTACCTAAAGCAATATGTCTGAAAGGTACCGAAGACAAAATTAAAAATAAAGAAAAATAGGACCACTATCAACAATCACTAAATAAATTTGAATGAACTTGTGAGAAGGGGGGAAACCTGTCTTTTGAAACAACTGTAAGATGAGCACACAAGGTAGAAAATGGAATTTTTTCAGCACCTGTGACTTTCCACCTCAGTATTTTCAGGCTTTTCCCATCTGCAGCTGAGGGACTCTGTTTGGTTTGATTTTCAAGTCATTTTCTCATTGCCTGAAAAACTTTCTCTTTGACAAACTTTAAGACAGATGTGTGTCTCTCACATGTGCTGGTTCTCCTTGTCCTCCTGCTGATTGAGGCGCGTTGGTCGAAATCTCTTGCTGGCCAGAGCGGCCTCCATGTCCTCGATCTCCCTCCTTCTCAGCTCCCGGATGGCTGAACGAATGAGGCGTCTCTCGTCCAGATCCACGGTTCCATCCAGCTGCAGACAGCACAGGTATGACGATAAACGTAAGAGCAGATAGAGCGCTATCACATGGATGATAAACATTTGCTTTGCAAAGACCAATGATTTGCCACCAGTTTATTTGCATGATTCAACAAAGACTGTTGGTCTAATTTGAGGAAATGATCGCAGCATTACACAAGTAACACAGATAGTTATGAAGAGCCTGTTTAGTAAAAGAACAAGACTGAAAATGTCCAGACATAATTTCACCTCGATTTCCATCATCACCTGCCACCACAAATATGGCAATACTGTTTTTGCCCATGTGTGTGTACCGTATTTTTTGGCCTATAAGTCGCAGTTTTAGGCATAATTTACAAGCCTTGCATCTTATACACCGAAGCGACGTATACGAATTTTCCCCATATTTATAAACCAATTTTTGGCTGAGATATGATCGTTTTCATTCATTCTGACTGAAAATATTGAACACTACAATTTTTCAGCCGCTAGATGGCACTTGCCGAAGTGTCCCTGGGCAAGACACTGAACCCTTCATAGCCTCTGATGTGTGTCCCATCAGTGTATGAATGTGATAAAGCTCTGATTAGTCTCTTTAGAATGATTTGTTCAATTAGCTTTGTAGAGATCTAGTAGAGTGCTGTTTGAATGGGTAAATGAGGACACAGATTGTAGTGTAAAGCACTTTTGAGTATCTTGAAATAAGATAGAAAGGTGCTATATAAGTACAGTCCATTTACCATTTACTTGAGTAGTAAGGCATGCCGTTCTGTTATGTAATAGGTAAAAGTGGCTATTAATGACACAATCGGCTTGCCATACATGCCACCTTCGTCCAGCTCGCCTGAAGCAACCGTCAAATCAGCTTCATTTTGCTGCGCCACCCCAGCGAAATGCAGCTAATTTGACCATTAAAGTGCATTCAATAAGTAAAAGTTAAACTGAGACACACCTTTGCTATAATGTCGAGCAAACAAATAATTGTTTTAGGTGCTTATATTGTTAAATTTCGAAGAAATGCGCAGCGTTCCTCCTCCCTGATTTCCTCCCTGTCTGCGCATTTATAGATTTTTCCATTTTATTAGACAAATACAGACTGATGCAACTTATAGAGCGGTGCGACATGTATGGCGGAAAATACGGTATGGGTGCATGTGTCTGTTAGGAAAATACCTCATAAACACCAAATTTTAAACAAGCCATTAAAAAGTAATTATTGGGTGCAGATCTACAACTAAATAACCTATTTGGGCGAACACAACACAAGATGGCTCACAGAGCCAACTTCATGTTACAAAACACAAAAACTGTCTATAGAGTTCCGTCAATTTGACAAGTTCTGAGCTAAATTTAGGCTTGGTAGTAGCCGACAGTCATTCACAACACATGTATGAGATCTTTTGATATCAGGTGAGATCATGAATAACATTACTGTCAAGGTAGGATCAAAACACCTTTCTGACCATATAAACTAAGGAGTGCTGGGCATTTAATCTCCTTCAGATTTTAACATCTTTGATGACATAAAAGTTTTAGAAATTATTTATTTAGTCATTCTAATCAGATTCACAACTGTTGGTTAACCCTGAAACACCGAACCTAAGCAGCCCTGGTGTATTTCTGCATGTGCAGTCGCTGGTTACAGGGTGAGCAGGGCACGGGGACGGCTTATTGACTGCTGATGTGATCGGACTTCACTAATGAGACGAGACACACGCAGGATGAGTGACAGACACAGCAGCAGCTGTTGCTCCGCGATGAGAAACGAGCGTGTTCAGCTCTGAAAGCTCATCCTGTTGTTCAGGTACTTTCCTCTGTCAAACCGTTGAAGACCACTTAAGACACCCGCTGATGTACGTCGTCGCTCTGAGTGCACTATTAGGTAAATAAAGCCCTTTTTCCAAGCAAAGGACGACTAATTAGGGAGTGTCTGAAGGAACACCTGCAGACAGATGTGCTCTGAATGCTTTCATCTAAGCGGCAGCCCTGAGAACGAGGTGGGGGTAGATGGAGCCCCTCGCCTGTCATTTAGGAGACTGATCTCTTTTTGGATCGACAGCAGCAACCTGTCAACACATGCAGAGACAAACAGCTCCTCTGGCAGGATTTTCTTGTAAACCTCACAGTGAGACACGCACTTTAAAAAGTTTCCTGCTGCATCGGTGAAAAGCTACCAAGTCCAGGCACATTTCTTTGTTTCCCAACTAAAGGCAGAGCTGGATGCGATTGTTCAGCTAAGCCGTATATGCTGATGTGTTGAGAAGGGGGCTGACGTGCCTCGCAGCTGGGCCCAGAGACAAATGGAGAGGAGGATCGTCTCATAAGAGATGAAGAAAGCTAGCAGTTTTGAGGTTTTGCTGTGGTTTGACAAAATATGCAGCCTGAACTGCAACGGTTCAAGAGGACGCAACTCTATGCTGTAATTTGTGGAAATATAAAGTGCTGAGCTGGGTGAAAAAAAGAAATGAAGAAAATGATCTGACATGGATGAACAATATGAAATGAGAAAACAGATGAATCGTGAGCTCGTGATGATAACGTGAAACTTTTTTTTTTTTTTTTTAAAGGCAGTCTACACTTGGGTTTGTCTAAAAATGGGCAGAAAAGGCCTGGCCTTGTTCAGGTCATTCCTCACATTCCTGCTGACTCACAAGAACAAATCTTAGTGAAATCTGGTGATCAAGAACTGGTTTGTGTTACCATGATGTGACAACCAGACGCTGCAGTGGTGAGTTTTTGATAGTGAAAAGGGATTTAGACTAAATGAGAACATGTCGCTCCTTTTCATTACTGGCCGGTGAGTGTTTCTTACACTCACACACAAACCAGACACTCGGGGGAGCCGTCTGTTGCCTCACTGTCAAGCTCAGTTCTGAGTAAAACCTATGATGTGATTATACAGCCTGTATCATCACTGCCAAGTTTTAGAGCTGACTGATTTATGTTTCACCACTGAGATCTAACAGCAGAGCCCGGAGTCTGGGCCTCCCATCCTAAACTGACACGCTGAGCGTTTGATAAGAACCAGAATTTCTGTCAAGTCTGAACATTAAACAAAGATAGAGACAAGAGAAGGCTCTTAAACCCGGAGAACGAGACAACCTGCAGAGCTTTTCAGATTAGTTACTGTTTTCAATCATATGTACAAAAAGGGGAATGAGAGTGATGTCATTTTTTGTGAAAAAGCAGGAGTGCAGGAGTCAGTCAGCACTCAGACAAATCAAAATGTAATAAGACATGACAAATAATAGCCACTGTCACCTCAGCTCTTTATAAGTGAAATTCACTTAAAAGGTTCATGGGTGTCCAAAGTGCGGCCCGAGAGCCATTTGCAGCCCTTGGAGTGATTTTGTGTGGCCCACAACTGCAGTTTAAGAATGGCATCATTTTGGCCAGCAGGCTTAAGAGGTCGATGCAGACTTTCTGTAAATTAGTTGGTAATCCTTTTTTTATATAATGTTTAGGTTTAACAGCAAAACAGATGAAAAACAACCTTGTCAAAATGAGTAATATTAAAAAAAAAATACAAACCTTTGGCTATACTATTTTTATTTTCACTTCATGGTACAAAGCACCAAAAAACCTTTACTGATTTCTACAAGAAAGGAGAATTTTTGAAAATGATTCATAAACTTGGCTAAATGTTGCAGTTGATAAAATGATCAAGAAGGAAATTGGACATTTTTAAATGAATATAACATGGCATCATCTATACGAGTTGATCAACTTTATCAAACTTTCTATGAATCTGTTGTATATTTACAGCCGACGATTTTTCAGAACGTTGATCAGCCTTTTGGGCCGTCCATGGTCCAAAAGGCTGATCGACCCACTTTTAAAGGGACACTTACTCATATTACGCTTTTGTTGCTGAGAACAGACTAAAATGAACTTTCCAAACACAAGAAAACAACAAACAGACCCAACAAATCAAATCTGTGTTAATAAAAAAAACATAAGCTTAGTGTTTGAGGCTTTTAATGTTTTGGATCTACAACAACTTAAAACTCTTTCTTCACCAAAATTAGTCAATTTGTCCTTTCTTCAAAACGTTGTTCACATTGAGAGTTAAAATCACATTTTTGTGGCCCACGAGTCCTTTCATCTGGACAGTTTTGGCCCACATGTGAAAACGTTTGGACACCCGTGGTTTAAATGAACCAATCAGTGCGACAGTGGCTACATGTTTCAGTTTGGATTGGCTGTAAACTTTTACGTGCCAAATTTAAACTGTCCAATCCAGATGGCACAGTGCCAGGGAACATAGCAGACTATTAATTTACAAATCAGAAGAGAGGAAAATAAAAGTCAACCAATAACCCTGCACAGGAAAGTAATAAAGAGAGTGCAACCCAAGCAAACAGAACACACCTTAAACTTGGGCTCCGGCCAAAGAAAACAGAATAACCGTTACGGACGGAAACATATGCTCCTGCAGAGACGGAGTCCATTTGACAAAACCACCAGATCGCACAGGCCTCAGAGAAATCTGGGCCAAAAGGGAAGGAAAAAATAAATCTGTCCCGTTATAGAGAACCACCTCAAAACGGGCATTTCTCAAACTGAATGCTCCCGTGTGTCCAAACAATAACACAGAGAGTGACCGTTACAAGCAGACAGAAAACCTTTTCACTTTTCACTAACAGTTTTGATGCATGAGTCAAAAAAATAAATAAATAAATAAATCACACGACAATACATTTTTAGAGGAACAACATTCAGTCATCAAGGCATCGCGGAGCTGTCGGCACCTTAAAATGAGTCACGGCACTGTCTGGGCTTCCTGCGCTCATCTGTTGATAAGCATGTCATCACACCTGTCAGGTCTAACGAGGTTACCTGGTGTTCAATAACAGGATGAACTCCTCTATCTCAAATACAGACAAACACGACGCCTAAAAGATTATTAATCTCGAGTCATGAATGAATAATACGCAAGAAATTGTTCGATTGTGGCACAAGAAGGCTTGGACTTGCGTCGAGTCATTTCCAGACGTACAGCAGACTGTCAT